CACATAATGGATGTCAGGAAAGACTCTTTTGAAACTTCCTCTTGAGCATAGAAGATAAAGCAACTGGAAGAAATGAGAAAGTAAAAGAGCCGAACAGAAATTTTCAAAGGGCATCTTGAGAAGACAAACTGAAGTATTACAATTAAATGTGCAAAGACCTGGAGTTAGAAAACCAAACGTTAAGAACACACTCAGCATTTCTCAAGCTGAAAGACCTGAGGAAAAATACTAACTTTGCATTGCAATAATGAGATATCCTATGGGCAAAATATTGAATGATGCACGAATCATCAAAAGAAAATGGAAGGAATACACAGAGTCACTGTACCAAAAAGAAGTGGTCAATGTTCAGTCATTTCAAGAGGTAGCATATGATCAAGAATAAATGGCATTGAAGGAAGAAGTAAAGCTGCATGGGCAAAATTGGTCAAAAACAAGGTTCCAGGAATTGATGGAATACATATCAAAATGTTTCAACAAAATGATGCAGCACTGGAGGTGCACACTCACCTATACCAAGATGTTTGAAAGACAACCACTTGGCCAACTGACTAGAGAGATCTGTATGTGTGCCTATTCCAAAGAAAGGTGACTCAGTGAAATGCAAAAAGCATTGAACAATATCATATGTTAGTAAAATTTTATATAAGATAATTCAAAAACAGTTGTATTTCTGGAAACTGTGAGAAATTCACGTTGGATTTAGAAGAGGACATGGACTGAGAGGTATCATTGCTGACGTCTGAAAGTAGAGACTACCAGAAGGATGTTTCCTTTTGTTTTATTGACTGTGCAAAGGCATTCGACTTTGTGAACCAAAGTATGGATAGCATTTCAAAGAGTTGTTTGAGCAGAACAAGGGGGAATACTGGACAATTTAAAAACAAGAAAAAAACATGTGTCAGGGTTGTATAATTTCACCATAATTTATTCAATCTGTATCCTGAGCACATAATCTAAGAAGGTGGGCTATGTGAAGAAGAACGTGGCATCAAAATTGGAAGAAACGTCATTATCAATGCAGATGACCC